CTTTTATCTTTGAATTAAAACACATATAAGTTGTTCATCTTAGTTTTTTATTAAATTAAATCATTCAACACCAACCCCCCCCCCCCCCCCCCTCCCTTATTTACTAGTTTCATAAAAAGAGAATTATTCCTTTCCCTGTGGATACGAACTCTATTTCACCTATACTACGTATAAGTGATAGTATTGAATTTATTTTGACGCACCGTGACAAAGTGTTCGTCAAGACCCTTCTTAAAGACCTCAAAAACTAAAATTGACGTATCTAGTGGTTCATTAACCTTAGAATTCAATGATCAAAAAGTAGAGTTCAATATCTTTGACTCTACGAAAGACCAAATTAAAGATCAATCTCTTTGCTCTTTAAATGTTTTTGAACCACAGGAATCGATATTTTTGAAGAAATCTTATAAAATCCCATTTTTTTCAAGAAGAGGAGAAAATTGAGCATAGAAAGTCATCGTTGGTTGAGGTGTTGACAGGAACGAAAGTTCCGCCTTACTGGAAAAGGCCGAAAAAGAAAAATGAAACATGGCCAAACAAGGCCTTTGATAATGAAAAAGGGGATGTTCATGATCTCACGATTCCCACATAAACCAAAAATAAAAATAACGTCGTGCCGCGACATTAAATAAGGCGTTTCTTGGGAGGCAACCCAAGTTTGTATTTTGTTTATTTTCATTTATTTGAGTGTGTGTGAGCATTTAAAAAAAGAATTTTTTTATGAAGCCCGGGGTAATTACCCGGCCGGGTACTACATATCACCCGGCCGGGTGTGTGTAAAAAAACAATCAACCACACCATCGCCCGGGCGAGCAGAGCCAAGATCTTTTAAATCCTCAGAAACCCGACCGGGTGCCTTAACCTACCCGGCCGGGTACAACCACAAAAAGGCTACTGCTGCCCTGAGATGAAAACCCGACCGGGTAGACCCATACACCCGCCCGGATGAAAATGAAAAAGGCCAGGATTAACTAATTTTCGACTGGGTACCATAACCTACCCGTCCGGGTAGTCATTCTAGTGGCCACCGAATTCCAAAGTCCGCAGGACCCGACCGGGTACCCCAACCTACCTGGCCGGGTATTCATTCCAGTGGTTTCTGCCTTCAAAAATTGACAAGACCCGACCGGGTATAAAACCTCACCCGGCCGGGCGGACGGTAATTTACAGTTTAACAGGTCGGGCGACCAATCCCCATCCCACTTCATCTTCTTCCAAACACGAACCAACTCCGCCAAAACACCATTTTCAAGCTCCATACATTTGAATCTTCTCTGTTTCTACACCAAATCCATCAAAAACCCCATTTTCTAAATCTCTTCATCACCCTCTTCACTACTACACCCACAAAAACCTCCCAAATAAGAGTGAATTGTGAGGATTAAAATAGAAAAATGTGGGAAGCTGGGATTAAAATCCGAAAGGGCGCCTTGACAAAATGAGAGAAACGAGAGAAAGAATATCTTTGCAGGATCCTAAGGGTAACAATGAAAAAAGAGAATTTAATAGGAGATTTGAAGTTGAAGACCCCTTCTTACTCTTTTAGTTTTGGGGATACATTGTGTTATTTTCTATAAACACTCGTGGATATTGGTGTTGATACTCTTGTCATTTAAAGGACTTCTCAGACAGGATTTGGTTTACTCGAGACGAGTAAAGGTTTAAGTGTGGGGGTATTTGATATGCACTAATTAGTAGTGCATAAATGTATATTTTTATGTTTGAATTGTGTGTATTGTTTATCGTTTTATTTAGTTTGTAAACATTTGTATGATTTTAGTTGTAATTGTATTTTAATCTTCATTTATAAGTTCTAAAGTAGATTTAGGATTTATGGTGTTGGAAAAGATGACTTTGAAGAGAAGAAAACAAGAAATTTGACTGCCCAGGAGCAAAACTCGACCGAGTAGAAATCCCCACCCGGTCGGGTAAGATTTAACAACCGAAGAAGCAAGGAAATTGCCACACCCGGTCGGGCCCTATACCTCAGCCGGTCGGGTGAGACTTGACCAAGGACATCCAGACGTGCTGAAGAACATCAGAACATGGGAAATATTTGATTTTGACCGGGCCCGATCGGGTGGATACTCTACCCGGTCGGGTACCCGGCCAAAGGTGTTGAAAAACACCTATAAATAACCTCATTTTCCTTCACTTTTAATCACTCCTTCTTCCATACTCTTAAGCTCAGTTTAGAATAGTGTTTCTTTTATATTTTTATAGCATGTTTAGTCTCTAAATGAGGAGCTAAACTCTTCCATCTTGGTTTTGCTACTTTGAAGCTTAATGCATTTGTAAGTTGTGAGTTATTCTCCTTAATTTTCTTCCTTGAATATTTATTCTTCCTTTAAATACTATTTGTATATCAATGTTGGAGAGTGTTACTAAGATGACAATTAGTTAACATCTTGACATTAATTATAGTAATAGTTATTTCTTCCTCTATGTTAATATTGGGGAGTGTTACTAAGATGACAATTAGTTAACATCATGATATTAACTATAGTAGGATTCATCTTCTTTAATATTCTTCCTTGAGTATTAATTAATTCCTATTCATATTTCATATTAATATTTTGAGCATTACTTAAAGGATCAACTAGTTTTGTTTCTTATATTAATTATTACTAGAATCAATGGATTAATACGCTTGTTATTAATTCGGTTCTTTCAACGGTAGTAAACTTGGATTATTAATGCATGTGTCTCATGGTTAATAATCTAAGGGGAATTAATTATATTGATTAAACCAATAAACCGCTTGTGTTGAGGTTATCAATCTCAATCATTTTCATCTTAAGTTTATTGCTACTATCATGTTAATATATGGCGCGTGTTCTATAATGACTCGGTAGTAATTTTTATTAATGAACGCGTCTCGTTATTGATAACTACCCTCGATGAACTGGATAAACTCCTCGATTGAGTATTCGAGAGAAAGATAGTTAAAGATATAACCGGGATCGATGAACATTTCATTAAGTGGATAAAAGCAAAACCAAGTCTTCATCCCTATTAAAGTAAACCACATAAGTCGTTCAACTTAGTGTTTAAATACATTTTAAATTCATCACCCAATCAAAAAAAACCTGTTACTATTCATATAAAAGAAAAGTATTCCTTTCCCTGTGGATACGAACCTTACTTCGTTATACTACGTATATTCGTTGTATTGTATTTATTTTGAGTGCACCTCACGACAAAGTGCACGTCAGTGGGGTTGGGGTATGGTCGGGTCAAGGGTGGGAGTGGGGTGGGGTCGGGCACTACAAAAAAACCACGGGATTGACAGGGATTTTGGCATGGATTTGGCAGGGATTTGGCAGGGATTTTGGCAGGGAAATGCCAAATCCATGCCAAAAACATTTTGGCACGAGCTATTTGGCACGAAAAATCGGTAAGTCCGTGCCAAATTCCGTGTCAATCCCGTAATTTTTTTGTAGCGGTGGGTCAGGTTGGGGGGTCGGGGTTGGGGTCGGGTAAGGTAGGGTAGGGCGGGGTAGTGGGGTAGCAATAGGGTAAGGGCAAGGGGTAAAGGTACAGGTAAATTCGGAAACTGAAAAAGCTTAAAGTGTCGTTTAATTAATACATGGGTGTGGTATGCTTAGTAAGCGGCACTTTAAGCACCTCTTTCGGTTAGTAACTTGCGTGTTTACTTCACCTGTCTTACTAACCTAACTGTGACTTTAGCAGCGAAGTAAATGCCTCCTATATCTTTTACAATAGGAAAAATTGACAAAAATAATGTCACCTTTCGCTGGTCTTCTCATAATAATCCCACTTTTAGGTAATCCCAGAATAATCCCACCTTTGCACCCTGTCTTCTTTCATTGGACCCTGACCATGTTTTTTACTCTTTTTTTGAAAATCATATAAATAATCTTACCTCTCACTTTTCTATTATATCTTTATAAATGTGAGATTATTTATATAAGATTTTCAAAGAAAGGTAAAAAACTTGGTCAGGGCCCAATGAAAGAAGATAGGGTACAAAGGTGGGATTATTTTGGGATTATGTAAAGGTAGGATTATTATGAGAAGATCAGTGAAAGGTGGGATTATTCTTGTCAATTTTTCCTTTACAATATTATATGTAATATTCATAAAAAGGTCATCAAATTAATTATATTAACAAATAATCCCACGAAATAATTTATGTCACACAAATGTTCGTCTAAAAAAGTGTCACATCACTACTTTAATCTGGTAGGGTACGCTTAATCGTCATTTCCCATTCTTGTGCTTTGTTTATTATTCTACTTTTATCTTTCCTTTTTGAGAGAATTCCCTAATTAAATATGACTAAATAAAAAAATAATTGCAACAATAGAAATTTAAAGTCTAAACTCCTAAAATAGGACTAACTCTTCATATTCTACCCTTTCCCTTGTCCTTCCTAATAGGATTTTTTAAATAATCATATCATTGTAAAACATAAAAAAATCGTAGAAACTAAGTAATATACAGACCTCAACCACCACCACCTCAGCCATCTTCCAGCACCGCCACCTCCGGTCTCCGGAAAAGAATGTCAATGGGGAAAAAATGTCATCGTGATAGCAATTTTGAAAAGATAACTGAATATTTTCAAAGAGTAAAAATATAATGTCATCTTCATGACATTTTCAGAGAAATGGGATATTTTTTACACAAGATGACATTTTTTCCCTAGAGATTGGAGGTGGTGGTGATGGAAGGTGGAGGATGCGTAGGTAGTGGCCTACATACTTTTTAATATTTTTTTAGGTATTTTATTTTAATTTTTTAGAATTTTTAATTTTTTTTAAATATATTTTCTTTTTTTTAATTATTTTTTAAAATTTTTTTCCCAATCTTTTTACTAATTTATAAATATTTTTACGGTTTTTATGGTTTATTATAAATAAAACTGTGATTTTTTAGTAATAAGTAAATCTATTAGAGATTACAGGTTGGAGGTAGACATATATTACTCTTATTTTGGTAATAAAAAGAGTATAGTCCCATTCAGGGATAATACCGTTCCTTTTTCTGCTAGGTGCGTATTTTAGTAATTTTAGTACTACGTATTTGTCATACATCCAAATTCCAAAATATGGAATTAATATTAGCAGATCTGGATATACTTTTCCAGAACAAATTTTTACCTATTACATTCTACATATCCCTTTATTGCCTCTAATGGCCACAAGGGCTGGATAATGGATATACAGACATCTAGCAAGCTCAACTCAGTCCTCTTTATTTTCCGGTACAAGTTATTTTATGATGATAAAATTTGATCAAACTCTTGCAGCAATTCAATGTCAATTAAGACTGCTTTCAAGAGGAAGCTGCAGCAGTGGCACAAAGTTCAGGGTTCTGTTTTCCAGTGAAGGTGGGCTTCACATTGGTACAAGTAGATTTCGCCGCCCCGCCGCTGAACTTCAAGTCGATATCGCCGACGTCAACTCCCTCGCATGGCACCCCACTGCTGCAAGCAAGGATCACGGCATTTTCGGTTGCAGAAGTTCCTGTTATGCCCTTATAGCTCACTTTGCTGATCTTCACCTGTGATGGCTTTTGCTTGGTGCATTGGTTATTGGGGCAGTACTCTTGGTCGATCACAATCGGGTTTTGGACGCCGTCCATCGTTAAGTCCGTGTAATGGATATCAGTGACCACTCCCGGGTGCGAGTCGGGCCACGTTTTGATTCTCACGCCATTGTCTGTCTTGATGAAGTTACACTTCTCCACGAAGACGCCTTTCACGGGTGCCTCGCCGGGAGTCTTTCCGAGACTCCCGACACTGATTCCGTGCCCGGGACCGCACGTCACACCCGTGATGTGAAGGTTTTCGGTTCCGTCTCCGATTGAGATGCAGTCGTCTCCGGTTCCTATGGTGCTGTCTTTAACGTTAACATCCACTATTTTCGCAATGTGGATTCCGTCGGTGTTGTGGCTGTCCCCCGGGGCTTTGATGGTGACGTGGTCGAAGGTTAAGTTTTTACCTCCCAGAACATTAACGTGAAACAACTTGCTGTCTAGAGAAGTTATGTCCCGGACCAATGAGTTTGTCAAAAAGTTCAAACTCAGATTCTGCATTAACCAACCAGAATAGGTTATGATAATTAAATGTCTTTCTTATGATAAACATAAAACCAAAGTTGAGTGAACTATAGCCTCTAATATCATATGAATGGGACCTCAAGTTCCATTGTAAATTAAAAGTAGTCAAATCTTGTATACGTAGTATGTTTATATTTTCTTTGACACATATTAATCTTGCAGAGATTTTACACTATGCAGAGATTTCTAGTACATTAAATAATTATTTTTTAAAAAATATAATTAAATTCTTTTCGTTTTAAATTTTCAAAATGAGAATATTTTGAAATTCTTACAATTAGAAAATTATATATATTAATGGTCAAAATTATGCATTAACAAACGTGAAAATGGAAGTATTGCCCTAAAAAGGAATGGAGGAAAGATTAATAACAATCTCAAAATAAGTTACGTAGTAATTAATAGGAAGAGTATAAGATTTTCTTGCGCTTACGTTGGGAAGCTTATTGCAGGTTGCAGTTTTCTTGCAATCATTTTGGTCCCATGATTTGGCTCCTTGGCCGTCAAGAACGCCGGTGCCGGAGAGAGTGAATCGGTCGACGTTATTGACGGTGAGCCATTCCTTGTTGCTGTCGAGTGTGGCGGGGTCAGCCGGAGCCTTTAAGGTGGCGTCGATTTTGAGCTCAACTGGGCCTTTGCATGGCCCATCAAGCACTACTTGGGTCATTGGGTATTCTCCTTTTGGGATCACAATGGTGCTTCCTGTTGTGGCTGCACATGCTTCCTTCCATGCGCTCAATAAATCCTGTCACATTTTTTATTTCCACGATAATTTGTCAATTTTGTAAATAACATAATGTATGAAAGAAAATGTTCACATATAATATGTTTATGAATCATATATATTACCGGGCCAACGTCTGCATTGGGTTTTGCTGCAATATTTATGACAGCACTTTCGCCATTAAGAAACAACAAAAATGTTGTAAATGTGAAGACACTTAGGCAATATGAAAATTTCATCTTCTATTATTGTTTACTTGTGTTTTTTTGTGTGGGTGTATTATGAGATCTCAAAGCAATTAAGAGGCATTTATAGTGTTTGCAAATGAAATACATCCAACGAAAAGAGTGGAATCTATTCTAAGGCTTCTATTCCTTTGCCATTCTTTAGGGCACTATGTGGTTTTTATTTGTTTGCCTATTTCATTGGCCATCATTCGCTTTTTGTTTTGACTTTTCCTTTGCAGTACTGATTTATGTCTCTTTTTATTAAGTAATTTGTAAATTAAATATGATTAATTATAATTAAAGAATGTGAATTAAATATTAGAGAAATAAAAGAATGTTAATGATGATGATAAAATGCCCTCAAGATATTCTTTTCAATATAACCCTTGGTATTTTTTCCCCAAATAATTGTGAAATGTTAATGTTTGAGACAAGCAATATTATTTTGCAGTGATTTTGGCATTTCGCAACACATGGTCATTTTTAAGGGTGTGTCCTATTTACTAAAAAACAAACATAAATTATGACAAGATAATCAATATAATCATTAGGAAAATATCATCACAATCCGTATACAGTCAAATTAAAATTCACCATAATAGTGATTATATTCAATACTAACTATGCAGGGCGTAGCCATGACACTGGATAGTTACAAAGAATTTTTTTGGGATAAATACTTTACACTAAAAAATAAGGCGTTTTTTAAATTTGAAGTGGACCAAGTGCTAGCATAACACCCCTCCACGACGGTCATGATGTACATATTATTGTTGTCACTTGTTAAAGTATTCGTCTCATATCAAGTATAAAAGAATAAAATGTTATATAAGATCTTGACCTATGTACTTTGTCTATCAAGTTGATTTTTTAGGATAGAACCGCAATTTTAATATGGTATCAAAGCATGTTCAATACTGTGGTTTGAGTATATTGTTGTTTAGCATCCATGAGTAAGGATAGCTCGTTAAGGGTCTATTTTGTTGATTTATACACTTCGATATTGTCCATCCTGCACTGGTGGGAAAACGGCGATTGAAGTTTAATATGGCCTTCGTTGGAACGCTTTCGCGAGTAGGTTGTTTAAGGCAAGGAAAATAGCAAGACAAGAGATAAATTAGAGACAAAGTGTATCCAATTCTATTCCAATTATAGAATGGTTACAACACAACTGTTGAATGGCGCTTCGACCCTCAGATTAAGCTAAGTGCTATTCGAGAAATCTAGAGGGAAGTCTAATGCTTGAGAGTACAAAACTGATAACCCCTTGCAATGAAAGAAATAATGTTATTTAGACTACAAGTAAATAGGTGGAGGGGTGATGTGACCGACCCCGAGTGGATGGAGCTCCAACCAAAAAAACTCCCAAATCTAGTGCATTAAATGTGCTTCCTGTCAATTCTGATGTTTCCCGCCATTTGCCTTGGGCCACTCTTCCATGGGAAGCTGCTGGATTGAGGAGAGAAGCCTAAGTGGGGAGAAAGTGTCGTACATCTTCAACCAAGCGGCAGGATCCGAGCGATCACCTCGAGCTGGCTACATTTGCATATGGCTCGTATGTGATTTGGGTCTCTAGGGATATTTGGGCTTGTACTGGACCAGGGCCTAATATATATCCTAACACGCTATATAAAATCTTGGACTTTTAGTTCTATCGAGTTGAGCTTTTTGGACAAAACCCCGATCTTAACATTACTACACGTTCAAAGTTATGTTGTGTGTTATTCATCAAGGTCATAATATTGGTAATCAGTTCAATTCCATATGGATTTAAAATCATTGAATGAAGGTTGTGTTTGTCTTGTTTTATTTTGTCGTGTTTGCATTTATAACAATCAAACGATGTAAAATGTAGAGTTTGGAAGTGAATTACCATTAGAAATAATGGGGCTATATTCAAAGCAATGAGTTGGAAAGATGTGAAAACAAAATGGTTCCGGCCATAGTTCAAAATGTAACCAGACAATTCATTGGATTTCCTCCGGCCATTATTAATTTATGCCACAATATACCGTGTCTCATAAGCATGCAATATTTTTTTTAGGTGTCACCGCCTGCTGCACACACTGACCTAGTGTTATACAATGGTTCTACGTACATGTATTTCATTATGTGGGTTTAGCAGTTTAGGTTTCATAAAAATGTTTCACACATCTAGGTAAACTAGTAAGAATGATAATACTCGTATTTCACAATGATATAAAGTGCCTCATAGATCACCTTTTCCAGGCTCCCAGCTGTAGAAATTAGTGTTGGACTCTGTTCGGGCCACCCGACCAGGGAAGCAGCCCGGCCCGCTACTGTGCGGGATTGGCCCGGCTCGGTTCTTCAGGCCCAAAACCGGTCTAAGGCCCGGTTATTTGGTAAAAATGGGGCGGGCTCGAGTTGGTAAAAAAGAGGCCCAGCCCGGCCAAGCCCAGGCTCAGTTCAGGCCAAATTGATTTTTTTTTCATTTGTTTGGGCTCCGCCCAGGTTGGGCTTGATGTTTAGGAGAGGTTTGGGGGGTTTGGGGGGTGGGGAGTACGGGGGTCAGGGATAGGTAAGCAAAAAAAATAACAAAGCCCGAGGCCCGGCCGGCCCGGCCCGGACCCGGTGGCTACCTTGGCCGGTCCCAAGTCTTCCTTTTCACTTTTTCAGAACCGCAGGCCCACCCATGCCTAGGCCCGACCCGTATCCAACCCCAATAGAAATGGTATAGTTAATCACTATGGCTGAGTAGGGATAGACTCGGGCCGGGCCGGTTCCGGACCAGGCTCTGGAGGGCTTTTTTTCAGAAACTTGGGCCCGGAACCGGCCCGGTTTGATACCGGGTCCGGTCCGGTTCAACGTATAATTTTTTTTGGCTTTCTTGTTATCCCCCGACCCCCCCCCCCCCCACCCCCCCCCCCAACCTCCCCAAAACACCCCGCCCTACCCAAGGAAAAGGAAAAAAATTGAAAAAACAAAAACAAGCCCCGGAACCGGCCGGTTCAGTTCATATAATTGTGGGCCCGTAACCGGCCCGCCAGGCCCGCTCAACCCGGGTAAAGCCCAGAACCGGCCATCCGGGTGCGGTCCGGTCCGGGCCCGTACAGTAACGGGTCGTGCCGGTTCCGGTCCGGTTAGGCCCGGTTGGGTCCATGCCTATGGCTGAGGCATGGACACTGGTTTGGTCCAACTCTGAACCAGGCCAAACCAGTCCTCAAAAGTTGGAGCCATTATTGAAACACTGGATAAGTCATCCCAGAAGTGCATAAAAGTATAAGACAAACTCACAAACTACTCTGGTTTTAATTCAGTTTCAGGTCATGATTTACAATATGTTTATATACTACATATTATAATGTGATATCTATTTCGATCAGTCCCGTTACTTCCAAGCATCAATTCCCTTTTACTTATTGAAATATTGTTCACAGAAAGAGTAAGATAGTGCAGAAAAGTGGGGGAGATGAGTAAACAAATGAAAAGTAGTGAAAAACAATGAATCTGTGTGTGTTGATATGACAGTAGTTATCAAACAGAAAGTGGAATACATAACAATCCGATTTTAGTCCTCAATTGAGCAGTTTGTATACTAATCACCCGTTTCAGTTTCGGTTCTAACTTCTAGTTCAAAATCGGGAAGTGTCAACCTGTACTATTAGTAATAGCACTAGCTACCACAGATTCATTTAAGTTATGAGATTGTAAAGTTTCACCTGTTTTCTGTTTTAGAATTTTATTGACAAGTTGTCTACTTTAGATGCCAGACTGGAAATCTCACTTACGAGAATGATGTTTTATGCATTGAAGAGGCCTTGCCTGAACTACTGATCAGGCACAGGGTAGTTGAACTTGATCTTGTCCAAATGATGAAAGCTTGGTGCAACGGTACTGCAGGTAAAAAGAACATAGTTGGGTGGCTTTCATGCAACCAGAAACTCCATGTCTCGTGATCTATATAATCACATCCGAGCAAGGTTGGACCTGGTTCTAGTTCCAGAACCAGTACTGTACCATTTCTGATTCATCCAAAATAAGACCATCAGTTCCAGTTCCATTTTTAATGGCTATGAAACCATGTCAACCAAGGAAGCGGAGCCCATACGAGTATACCCAGTCCGGTTTACAATCCCTGCTAACCCTTTTACCCAGTCTGGTGACTCTGGTCCAGTCCCTACTGACCTCTTTACCCGGATCTGGACCTGGTCCATCCATAATCAAAGCGTGTAGGACAATGCTACTAAAACCACATTTTAAAGACTGGAATGGCAAACACAGGTGAGGCATATATTGATTGACAAGAGGAAAGTGATAGACAAAGAGATGAGGACATAAACAACGGAATCAATTAATGTTCACAAACCTTGTGTCTCATTGTGTCTGGGCTGATAGCAGTGAGAGACTGAGAGGCCTTCAATGGGAAGAATGTGTACACGACTATTGTATAAACACTAAAAGAGGGCTGGGAATGACTATGCACCCTTTCAGAACGATCCGAGTATTGTCAAGGTTGACTCTTATTTTATTGGTTCAACTGAGATGATGTATTGATTGTTTTCTTCTCAAGGCCATTATTGCAATCGAAAGTTAGTTCAGATACAAAATAGGACAGTGAATATTTTTCTTTTCAAAGCATATTGTTTCCGTCAAATGAATGCTAACAAATAAAACAGGCATTGGAGACAGGAGAGAGTTATAAGATGAATGTACTATATATTTGTGTTGAATACCACTGAGGCACTGAGAGCACTATTTGTTAGTGATGGTCACACAATTTGGAAAATCGTGCCACTTATAAATAAGATTCCGGAAATACTACAACAAGCAAATGGCATTGAAATTTGAAGCCCACCACCACATTGACTGTTGCATTATGTGATGCATCATGTGCTACCTTTTGGCACTGAAATACAGATATATGGTGACTTATAAATCTGCAAAAAAGTTACTTGAGCTGCTCGCGCTTTTCCCTTTACTAGCATTGTTCTTCTTTGTTGCTGCAAAAAGTAAAGTATTTTAACTACAAATCAATGACCAAAAGATTTTAGGACTATAGTAAAACAATATGCATGTTTCAGCAATTTCCAAAAAGAGAGCCTGTTTGGTAGCCTGAATTATCTGCTCACCAACAGAATAAGCTAAATGGATTTTACCAGATGCTTTTATTTATAAAAAAAAAAATAGCAGATTCAATCATTTCAGCCAAACGGGCTCATGAGTTGTTGTATGTCACATTAATAGTACCTTTAGAAGTTTTCGTAATACTGTCATCAACGTCCATCCCGTCACCGCTGTCACTATCAGCTTCAGCTGCTTGGCTTGTTGAGGCATCTCCAGCACTTGTTAATATCTCATCCAAATCCCACAGCTGTATATATTGAATAAAAAAGGAAATAGTGCTAGTGTGAGTGATGGATAGGAAGGAGGGAAAACACATTTAGCAAGTACTTCTTTCATGCGCATTCTAGAATTCTCATTCATCATAGTTGTTAATGGCGCAAATGGCGTGTGCCATAAAACACCATTGGTGATCTGATCTGAAGAGGCTTCGGCACAAAATGCTTCCTGGGGACCAGTATACATGTGGCGACACCATCAGTGTGCCATCACCACGCCATATGCGCTATATTTAAGATGTTCGTTTAGTTACTGTTGGCCATTGGCCAGATTATAATATAACCAGTTTGCCCACCCATCATATAATTTTCAAAATAAAACTAATTACGGAACTAAATAGAGACCACCTAACGTAGAATTAAAGCCAAAAGCCAGAGAAGTTGTGCAACTAAAGTCTCTGTCAGAGAAAGCTGTGCACGCCTAAAGGTAGAATTAAGAAAACTGTGAACTAAATAGAGACCACCTAACGTAGAATTAAGAATGTGGTTATTCAACTCTTTTACTCATTTTTTGATGGTTGAATTATAGATTTAGAGCCCGTTTGGTAAGCCGTATTTCCAGCTTATCAGCTAACTTTTTTACCAAACACGTAACTTTTGATTTGCGCGTTGAATTGTGGAATAATCAAAATAAGTAAGGATAGACTTATTTTTTCTAGCTGAATTGGCTGAAGTTCCTTTAAAGGGCTATTATATCGTCTAAAGTTCATATTTTCAGTATTTATTTTTTATATCATGTGGCGACACCATAAATGCACCATCACTACAAAAAATGCCACGATAACTATGGCACTCATACAAGAAATACAATCACATAGATACATAGATGTGGACCTTCAATGTCTGATCATGTGAGATGCTCCCAAGATACTTCTTGTCATATGAGAAAGCTGCAAATGTAAAAATAAGAACAAAAGTTACAAATACTAATCAGCAAAAAGATTCTCAGACAACAAATGCCAGATAACATTTCATGAAGTTTTACCAAGACCCTCAACAGGATATTCTGAATGTTCGGCAATTGGTTGAATTACTCTGTTTGGTAATATGCCCACCAAACTAAAGGGAAAACAAAAGGATAGTGAATAAAATTTTAATCAAGACAAATACAACAGCCAAATCAGATAAATTAAGCAGTTTGCTGAACCTAATAAGCCCATTCTCACATCCAGTGATTACTCTGTCTTCATCAAGCTTCACAATGGAAAACATTTTAGAATTGTTAGGTTCCCAATATAGAAATAGTATACCAGTCAGTATCATATTAAATCTAAACACTAATTATGGAACTACTAAAAATGCACTTACTTTCAATAGTGTATCCACTGAGTTTGGGGACAAATCGACAAATCGATCACTGGAAAAATTGAAGCAGAAAAATTTAGAATGAGAAAAAAAACAATATTAAGGTGAGATTTAAAGAGTTGCAGTCTAACTACCTGCAATCCTTAAAGAAGCCCCATGAGTACAGTAATAGAATTCCTCCCTGAGTCCCACATATAACTTTTCTACCGTTCTGATTAAAATAGATTCATTTTATTAAATACATAAGAAAAATTAGACAGTTGGAATGTGAAATAAAACAAACACATACACATAAATAAATACATAGTAAATCAATATATACAGAAAATTAGAAATAATATACTCAGGAAAAAAAATATAATATCTACCTTCATAACCACAACAGAAAGCAGCTCATCTTCTGAAAACTCTGACCGAGTTTGAACCTGGAGGTCAAATATAAAGAAAAAAATTAATGAATCAAGAACCTAACCTTCATGTGAAAGTTTAAGCAAAGCAAAATCAAAATAGCATGCATAAGTATTCACGCTTAAAACGTCTTGAAATATTTATAAATGGATCTTTTAAACATGAGGGTGGGCCTGCTATCAGAGATATCGATGAGCATCGAAATGCGAAAAAAAACTGATGATTACCTTACTACTTCGTATATTGCAAACAGAGAGAGTCCCATCACCACTGGAGATAAAATTATAAAATATTACAAAGAACATCTAAGTCAAATAAAAGAACTACACAATGCTAATACAAACAATGGCTTTCTAATTGGGACGCATCTAATTTCAAGAAAAGACAAACATTGAAGAATGACATATTAAGGCTGTTATCAATCATAAATTAGCCAATAGTTCCAGAACCATATGCAAAAAGTTCGTAATGTGTAATGATATTATCATCATATAATAAATGGAGCATTTTGCCCTCTTCCCTCTTATATGAAAAGTGAACTTCCGTTCTATCATTATAAAAATTGATAAGCATAGAGAAGTAGGACAGGTCACACATTACTAATACCTTGTGACAAGTAATTTCATGGAATCAGATGCGAAAGTAATATCTGAGATGTACTCCTCGTGAATGTGAAAGGTACTACAGCATGAATTTTGTCGTGTATCCCACACCTGTGATTGTAAAACTGAAAAATTACTATTGACTTTCATTTTCAACTCCATAAGATAAAAACAGAAATCTTATTATGCAAGAGTAAAAGCAGAAACGGTAAACACGAGAAATTGTTAAGAACGCTCGTACAAGATCTTGTCCTAGGTAATGGATGAGAGAAATAGAGGAGAGAGAGACGTGTGGATCAATTAGAACTATGCTTACTGCCAAACTAACCGGTGCCAACCTTGTCAAGACGCAAAAAGTCAAGAATTAATTCTTCAAAAAGTAATTAATTCAATAACTAAAACCCCATATATGCAGAGTACAAGAGTTCTGAAAAGTAAAGGAAATGACTACAATAAAATTAGTTGCAATCCTAAACTATGGATTGCAAAGCTAATACAACTAACTCAAAGGCTAACTAAAACCAGAATTCAAAAAACTAAGAAGTAGATAAAAAGACTTGCTGTCCAAATCTAGACACTTAAGGTATTTGGCTGCACTGCCCAATGGTCCCTTAAGCATAGGCTTCCGACTGGCCCAAAAGGAGCCCAAAACAGTAGAAGAGCATTAAAAATAACAAAATGGTAGTCTTTCTTAACCTAAGGAAACAAAGGGGGGGAATAAAAGAATAATGCGTTTACATTAGGTAAGGTTACCAAATGGGCATGGTATTCAAATCAACACCGCTTGGACAGTATATTGGATCAAAGAGACAACTATAATGCTAAAATTAAAAGAAAGCTCGAAATAACTGTTAACACATAGAAAGAGTCTGGTTAGATGCAAATCCCTCACATGTCATCATTCTCTGCATTCATCCGTCCAAAAAGAAAGAGTCTGGTTTCAAGAAGTTTATTTGGGACAGAAAAAGAGCCCAGTTTAGATTTCAAATTTTAATTTCAATAAAAACCTTGTAAACCCGAGCAATGAAGTGTTTTGCCCAAGTACTTCAAATACTCTTGGAAATAAGTTTTAAGAGTACAAGTGGCCATTCATAATTTGTGCTCCCTACGTCCCTTTTTATTTAGCCAAATTTGACTTTTCAAGTCAATGATGTTGAACTTTGACCGGTTATATATTTATACACGGTAGTATTGATAATGTGAAAATGATATGAAGATGTTCTTTGTTAAAAATACTATCATAAAAGTATAAATTTATTAAGTTTCACATAAATATATTAGTTAAAATAATGGATCAATGTTTACCATCTTTGACCGGAAATGTCAAAGATGGCTAAATAAAAAGGGAAGGAGGTAGTATAAGTTTGTGATGGAACTCAGATATTATGATTGAACTCCACTGTTAACTCCATAAGTTAAAATACTCAAATACTGAAATCTTATACTGCAAGAGTAAAACTTGGATCAGTAAACACGAGAAGTAGAAGCTTAAAAAGAAATCAATGTGGTGGTTTTGTTTATCCTATGAAAACAAGAAGCAAAATGTATTGACACTGGGCATGGAGTGCATGGTTACCAAAAATGGTCGCAGCAGTTAACACATCATCCTAGGAGCAGTATTTTGGATCAAATGTACAGTTATGCTGCTGATATAATTAATGCATAAACGAACTGCATAGATGGATACACTTAAAAAGGCTCAGCAAACTCTTAACATATAAGTTTTGACTCAGGGAAATCACATGTCATTGAGCTTCATACTCCGTCCGTCAAAAAAATACTTTTTTGGACAAACAAAAATAAAAGTTAGCTTTTGTTTTTAAGTAAAATCAGTGTAAACCCAACTACAAAAGCCTTTACTAATGGCTTGTACTCCAAAGTCCAAACAGTCTGGGAAACAAGTTTTAGGGCTACATTTGACCACAAATGGCTTGTAATAGCTTGTACCCTTGATTGGGTTCACTAAAAAAAGTTGCAGCTTACTCAAACAGAACTCTTGTTTGTGGCAGGATGTGTAAAGATAAAATTCAACCTCTGCTAATAATGAGTTTCAAGTTGTTTCAACATTTGGGGATGTAAAATTGACCTTTACACAACCCTCATCATCTCCAGAGGCAATGGTTGACTCGGTTAAATTGACGATTCGATTAACAGCAGCACTGCATTCAACAGGAGAAATCAAGTAAATACCTTATTAGCACTTATGACACAACTATTTATGTAGTATATATATTTTATACAGCTACATTACACTAGGCGTCAAATTTCATTAGTATCACCCACCCATGAGAATTCTCCACACGAGCAATTTCTGATCCAGTTTCAACGTCAGTAGCAAGTATAGAACAATCTGGAGATCCCGTTAGGATTGCTGAACACACATTATTTAATAATAAATAAGACTATGATTTAGATTTTCCATAATATGTCATCAGAAAATAGGCAAGAAACTTGTAAATTAGCATGGTTACCGCGTCCATCATTGACAAACCTGACCGCTCTACAGGATTCAGTATGTGCGCTAACTGTGAACAGCCTATAATTCATGTTTAAAGAAACAAGCCCTCAACAGGCAGAAACTAGACATTAAAATAATGTATGTGTATGCATATGGGTGTATTGGCGCGTAAGTAATTTTAGTTATACCTTTGTACTTGAGAATCCGCAGTGTAACGATGCCTACATTATAAATTGACTTTAGCATAATAATTTAGCTCTGTTTTCTTTTTCTACTCGTTAGAGAAGTGAATCAAGTGAAGAACTGAACTTACAAAAAAAGTTCACCACTGATAAGACCAGTAGCGACAAGATGGTCTGACGGATGAAAATCAAGGTCGAAGGGGAGCATACCCAAATCCACCTCCATCGATGCCATAGTTGCTTACACGAAGCTTGGATAACCCACAATGGAGAGAGGTTTTGTTAGGGTTTTTCACTTTTTCTTATTTCTACCGAAGAGGTACCCAACATTTTGACAAAGGGAAAAGAAATTTTTATCAAAAAGGGCCAAAAAATGTTCACAGGCGGTTTGGTAGCACTCTTTTTCGGCTTATCAGACTTCTCAGCTAACTTTTTCACCAAACACGTAACTTTTGCTTTCGCACGTTGAATTGTGTAATAAGTATAAAAAGTAAGGTTGGAGTTACTTTTCTGGCTGTATTGGCTGAAGTTACTGTACATGACCATTTTAGCTATTTTTACGTATAATTTTTTCTTTACTTTATAAATAAAAAATATTTTAAAAATATTTTTTTCTTAAATCATCAGAATCAGTCAATGCAGCCACTTCAGCCAAAACTTCATAAATTTCAGCAGAATCAGCCAAATCAGCCGATTTTCATGCTACCAAACGGGCTCTTAGTATTTTGAAACTGCCCTATCTTTTATTACATTATTAGGAAATGGTGTAATTACATAAGGACCCTTAATAAAACGACAGTCAGAACTTAAAAAACGACTGTCTAGCGATTTTGAAAAACGGCTTCTGGTCCCACACCTTGCACAATCCAACTTCCAAAACCCCAACTTCCCGCACTCACTCCATCCACTACCAGTCGAAATCGATTTCAACAGAGCACCGTGTTTAGGGCACAAGCATTCTTCGATTTCGCACAAGTATTCTTCGATTTCTACTTCGACTTCGACCATTCTTCCATCTCCTTCAAGAACCATGAAGTGCAAAACTCCTACGATTCCTCTGGTGAAACCCCAAGCAAGACGGAGACTTGTGAAAGCATCGGAATTGATGGAAGCCGAAGATGAACCCGATATTCAGGTAAATGTTAGATTATTTATGCTTGAGAGAGAGACTTGATTCTTTAGAAAGCTATAGTGGTAACTTCTCAAATGAAAGGTCCAAATGTTCATTCGAAACTGAACTCAACTTAGTCGACCTAAATCATGTTTCATTATTTTGAACACGCATGACATGCTTCTCATTAGTGTTTCTAACAAAATATACCTACCTTTTATACAATAATCATTGGTGGTTAATCCGGAGTGAATTTCTGTAAAAACATTTGGTCGAACTAAACATACATTGTTCGACTAATCTCAAGCGAAACTGAGTTGTGAACCATTGGTTCGACCATTTGTTAGTCGAACAGATGTTAATTTTTTTATATATGCAGGTCCCTTACTTGCCTCCTGTGGTGGACTGCTCGCTGTTCCCAAATATGAAGCTCACGGTGAGGCAAAATTTGGATGAATTTCAAGGATTAATGTTTGATAACCTTGGTGGATTTCCCACTCTCATGAGTATATTTAGAGGCATTGTATTTGGGAGATACATTGATGTTTCTTTCATCCCTGTTCCATCACTTTTGTTGCCACTCCTGTCGAGATTAGCGAAAATTGATAGGGACTCCGACGCATGGTTTGTCGTGAAGGGAGTTCCAGTACGCTACTCTATCACAGAATTTGTTCTAATTAGCGGGCTTACCTGCAGCCCCCTTGAGAAAAATTATGCAGATGATTTTGATCATGATTCCAAGACCAGTTTCATTGAGAAGCATTTTGGTCAAGATTTTGAAGGAGTTGTTAGCTATGAAACAGTTGTAGCTAGATTTCTACAACTATGCAGCACATTGACGAACCCTGAAGCTAGATTTCTACAACTATGCAGCACATTGACGAACCCTGAAGCTGAGGAAGAACGGAAAATGGATGCTGAAGTAGAAGTCATCAGAGTAGCAATACTCATGTTTGTAGTTTTGGTCCTTCTAGCTCCTTCTAAGAGAAAAGCTCTCATTCCTGATTGGATAGTTGGGATAATAGGGGCACGAAAAGAAAACGAGTTCCCATGGGGTACGTCGCCGTACATGGGATCATTAGATGCATTGAAGAAAATAGACTTGGTGAAAAAACTAAATGAAATACGTCATAAAGGCAAGTCAGCAACAATGAATTACCCGGGATTTTTAATCCCAATTTCGGTAAGCACCTCTCTTAATATAATTCAATTATAATTTTGTATACTGTAATAACAATTTGTCTAGCATTTCTTAGCTTTTTAAAATTTTGTTTTAATAGATATTGCTTTTTGAATGCGCCCCTGAATTAGCTGAAAAGTCTGCTGCTAGAATCCCTCAAAATGCGATTCCTGTGCCGAGGTTAAGTCTATGGGGTTTAAAGACAAAAAAAGGATCAGTAATGAACAGGTTCAAGAAGCTGAAGAATCAATAAAAGTAAGAACAATTTCATACTTATTGTGGTCGAACCAATAAATGTTATTGACCATTAGTCGACCAGATTTTGGTCGAATGGACAAATGTTATCGACCACTGTCGACTAGATTGTAGTCGAATGAATAAATATGATCAAACGCTCGGTCGACTTATTCAGTGGATTAGGATGAGAATATGTTTTTTTTGTTTCTTTATACAACTAAAGGTGAAGAACTAAATGTTTGTTACAGATGGTGCAGAGTATTCTACTACCCGATAGGTTTGAGGAAACTGTTGATTGGGTCATAAGTTTGGAGCCTGTACAAGAGAGTCACTCACATGATGAGCTGGATAGATTTGTGAAATCATTAGAGAAGAAATTAGTTCTTTTTCCAGTCTCGGTCTCTTTGAAAAGAAAATCATGTGAGGTCAAGAGTCTTGAGGAGAAGCAGCCTCCTAAAAAGATGAAGGTGTCAAGGATGAAGAAGAAGAAGAAGAAGAAAGAAGGTGTGGTGGAGGAACAAAGAAGGAAGAAGAGACACTCTCCTCAAACCCCTATTGCCTCTCCTCAGCCTCCTGCCAATGTAGAGGAACAAAGAAAGAAGAAAAAGAAACACTCTCTCCATACCCCTACTGCCTCTCCTAAGCCTCCTGCCAATGAAGATTCTTTTAAAATTTATATTGACCAAAAGTTTGAATAACTCGAGGCTCTTTCAGAAAAAAGGCTCGATTCTTTCAAACTGCATTATGACCAAAAGTTTCAGGAATTGGAGGAACGGTCAGAGGAAAGGCACAAAAGACTTGAGATGTTACTTCTTAAGTTTCAGGAATTGGAGGAACGGTCAGAGGAAAGTCTTAATTCTATAACAAAAGACTTTAAAACTTGCGTTTCAATATTTAGTTATAATTTTTTTCCTCCTTATATAGTCCATTGCTAGAGAAGAGGAGAAAAATGTTGAGGTGGGGAGTGACGATTATGAAGAGACAATGGAGTCCCAGGAAGATGTAAAGGAGTTAGACAAAGAGACTCAGTCTGAACAGTGGGACCAAGGAGACGACTCTATTGGCAAAGGAGAATCTGAGGTAACTTATAATTGATCGACCAAAATATGGTCGATCACGTATTTCTTACCAAAATATTACGCACTAATATACATATTATCAAATATGGTCGACCACGTATTTCTTATGTATCGATGTTAACACACTTGTAAGATCATGAATACTTACTTTACTATTTTTCATCTAGGAAGAAGAAGAAGAAGAAGAAGAAGAAAGAAGAAAAAAGGTACGGAGTATGTTTTAATAAAAAATACTTGCTTAAACGAAACTATAAGTGATCGACCAAAATATGGTCGATCACGTATTTCTTACCAAAATATTATCAAATATGGTTGACCACATATTTTTTATCTAGGAAAAAGTTGAAGAACAACAAGAAGAAGAAACTGTTTGTGTATAAGAAGATTCGATCGACTAATATTTGATCGATTGTGATTCCATGTAAAAAAAAAGTGGTCGACTTGATGTATATTTTATTCATACTTACGTTACTATTTTTCTTCTAGGAAAATGAAGAAAAAAAAGTGATGGAAGATGTTCAAAACACTATGGAGAAGGGAAATGTAGTGATTGAAGAGGTTCAGTAGTTTAATAAAAAATATTTGTGTATACAAACCTTTTTCAACTGTTTTTTCAATTGCAAGGGTGATGGGAAGGCTTTGAATGTATACCAATTTTTTTCACCAGGGTGATAGAGTTCATAAAGTATGTACATTGCAGGCAACTTGACGTGCACTTTATCACGGTGCGTCAAAATAAATTCAATACTAGCACCAATACGTAGTATAGGTGAACTAGAGTTCGTATCCACAGGGAAAAGAATAATTCTCTTTTTATGAAACTAGTAAAGGGGGGGGGTTGGGATTGAATGATTTAATTTAAAAACTAATGTGAACAACCTATATATGTTTTAATTCAAAGATAAAAGAACTTGGCATTGCTACTTTCCACTTGTTGATATATTTTAGTCGATCATTGTTATATCTATAACTTATTCCCTCTCGAATACTCATTCGAGGAGTATATCCAATTCATCGAGGGTAGTTATAAACAACGACCGTTCATTAATAGCCCTTACTATTAGTCAAGTATAGAACACCACCATATACCGACTTGATAGTAGCATTTAATCTCTTAACTCCTTGGTGAAATCAATTGAGATTGATAAGCTCAACACAACGGTTTCGGTTTAACCAACAAAATTAATCCCTCTTAAGTTTATCAACCACGACCGTGCATTAATAAACCGAAGTTACTTACTTGTGAAACCATCAACGATTAACCATCGGTTTGTCGATTGTTTCTAGTAATAATTAATATATGAAACAAAACTAGTTGATCCTTTAAGTAATGTTCAAAATATTAATATGAAATATGAATAGGAATTAATTAATATTCAAGGAAGAATATTATTAAAGGAGATGAATCCTACTATAATTAATATCAAGATGTTAACTAATTGTCATCTTAGCAACACTCCCCAACATTAATATAGAGGAAGAAAATACTACTCTAACTAATGTCATGATGTTAACTAATTGTCATCTTAGCAACACTCCCCAACATTAATATAGAGATAGTGTTAAGGAAAGAACTAATAATTAATATTCAAGGGAAGAAGTTAAGAAAATAATTCACAACTTTAATAATCAACAAGCTTCAAGAGCAACACCAAGAATGGAAGTTTAGCTCCTCATTTGGAGACTAAACATAGCTAGAAAAATGTAAAGAAATGATATTCTAAACTGAGCTTAA